GAGCTCTCTGGGGCCACTGGCACGCTTGTCCTCATACAAAGAGAAGGGACCTTAAAGAGTAGACCGTCCCCCGCCCCCATTTGGCTGAGAGGACAAGAGCTTCCTAGGGTCAAACGCCAAATTCATGGCAGAACTGGGCCTTGTACAATCCTTGTAATTACAATCCTTGTAATATTGTATTATATTATTTCTCACCTCCCTATAGCATGGTTTCCCTTTCCTGTTTCCTGTCCCATAGGTCTGTGTCAGCCACGGTTTCCATCACTTTCTCCCTGTGCCTGCCCATCTGATCTCTCTCTTTGTCTGCTCCTCACAGTTTCTAGGAAGTTAGGACAATCTATGAGATTTCTAATTAACCCCTGCCCGAATGATGGTGCATCTGGCCAGATAGGTGGGGAGGGAACAAACAGGTTCCTACTGTTTGGGGCCTACTGCATACCAGGTACTCAGGCACCGGAGGAATGCCAGGCCCCTCTCCGTCTTGCAAACCACGTGTTCTTGCAGCCTGGGAAGGTGAGGCTCAGAGAGGCAGAGTAACTTGGACAAGAGCACGCAGCTAAATCCAAAACTTCCTAAATAAATAAACTCAAAACTTCCATTCTTCCTAACCACATGCCCTGACACAGAGTGGAGCACAAGGTAAGGGGCTCATGAATTATGGGGCTCAAATGAAGCAGAGGACCATCTTCCCCCAGAGCCCCCAGCACCCACTGACCCCACAGGGTGGTAAAACCAATGCAAGCTTTTGCCCATGCCAGCTAAGAGTGGGGGTGGGTGGGAAGGCAGTGACCAAGACATAACCAGCCCAGACTACAGGGGTCTCCCTCCTGCCAACACCCCATCCCAGTTCCCATCTGCCCCCTCCCTTTTGTGGGTCAAGCCTGCCAGCGTCTGTTGCATTGTGTGCTGGGGGAAGGGCGGGCCAGGGAGAGGGTGAATGTGTGAGCGTGTGTCTACGCCTGAACATAAGGCCTCCGGGTTCATTCTGACACTGAATGAAAAACTCACCAATTATTCGTCCAATCTCATTAATATGCAGACAGACATCTGTTATTTAGGAGTCAACAGCAGAGGCATTTTCAGGGGGAGGGGCACTTACATATATGGGCCTCTCTGGTCTCTCCAGCTGCTGGGTTGTGGGGGTAGTGGCCCTGGCAATCACCCCACCCCTGCAGGCCTAAATCCTTCCCGTACACTGCCCCTCACTTGCAGGAGAGCAACCACCTAGGAAGCCAGCTGGAAGGAGAGGAGCCACCCTGGGTAGAACTCTTACAACAAATCAGTGAGCCCACTGCTGGGGAAGAGTGGAGAATGGAGAATGAAGAGCAGGACTGAAGGACAGAGGGACATGACTCCTCCGCTCCCTGCCCTTTCCCATCCCCAGCCAGCAGGACTGAGCTAAGTGTATCTGGGGTGGGTTACTATGGCAACACAGGGTCCTCACCCAGAGGCTTTAAGAAAATCAATGAGGGGAGTTTAGAAAAGTGGGGCTCAAAGTACCCCGAGCCTTCAGAGGCATCATGAACGCCCACTCTGGCCCCCATGGAGGTGTGGGAGCAAGACACAATGCCCTCCCCTTCTGGCTTTCTTCTGGCTTTGAAACCCTGGCCCCAGATACCCTCTCCTAGATGTCTTTCCTGATCGCTTCAGCTCAGAAGCACTCAACGCTGCAAATCTTGATTAGAGGACGGAGGCTGAGGTCAGCTCAGGCCCTTCCCAAGGGTCCAGTGGTCACGATGTAGTAGGTGAACCCATTCCAGGCATCCCCTTTGGATGCCAGCTCATGCCTGGCTGCTCTAGTTCTATCCAGTCCCCTGCTCATGGTCTGGGAAAAGCAGCAGCAGATGATTCAAATATTTAGGCTCCTGACGTTCACATGGGAGACCCAGCTGAGGTTCCTAGCTCGTGGCTTTGGCCTGGTTCATTCAACCATTGTCACCATCTGGGAAGTGAGCCCATCCATAAATGGTTCTCTTGCTCTCTTTGACTTTCAAATAAGTAATTTTTAATTGAAAAAAAATCAAGCAACTTTTCTAACATTCTTTCTCCTTTGACTCTTCCTCTGTAATACACAAGGTAATCAGTCCCACCCTTTTTTTTTTAAGATTTATTTTATTTTTATTGCAAAGTCAGATATACAGAAAGAAGAGATAGAGAAGAAGATCCTTTTTTTTTGTATTTTATTTATTTAGAGAGGAAGATCTTCCGTCCAATGATTTACTCCCCAAGTGACTGCAATCGCCAGTGCTGCACCAACCCGAAGCCAGAAGCCAGGAGCTTCCTCGAAGTCTCCCACACGGGTGCAGGGTCCCAAGGCTTTGGACTGTCCTGGACTGCTTTCCGAGGTCACAAGCAGGGAGCTGGATGGAAAGTGGGGCTACCAGGATTAGAATCAGTGCCCATATGGAATCCCAGCGCGTTCAAGGCGATGACTTTAGTCGTTAGGCCACCATACTAAGTATGAAAACTGAAGTTCAGGAATCAGCACTGCGTGGTGGCCATGGGTGCTGGTTTGAGTTTCAGCTGCTCCATTTCTGATCCAGCCCCTGCTAATGCACCTAGAAAAGCACTGGAGGATGGCCTGGGTACATGATTCCCTGTTAACCACATGGGAGAGCCAGCTGAAGCTCCTGGCTTTAGATAGACCCAGCTCCGGCCTTGGCTGCCATTTGGGGAGTGAACCAGTGACTGGATGACCTGTTGATTTGTCTCATCCTCCCTCTCTATGTGGCTCTTGCTTTCAACTGAATAAATAAATCAAAAGAAGGCAGCTGTTGGGCCTGGTCTAAGGCTCCTCAAGGGAGTGAGCATCAGGGCTGGCCTTGTGTTCTGGAACTTGTCTGCCAACTTCAGGCACTATCCAGGGCTGGCTGTCCTGGGAGGACAGGAGAACACCTGTGGCAAAAGTGTTTCAGGGTTTCAGGGGGCTCCCCTCCTGGGCAGGCTGATCATAGAGGTTAAGAGACTCTGGCAGCATCACAGCATGATTAGTTGTTTATTTCATTAAGTGATTAACGAGGCCACATTGTTTCCCAAATGAGCATCTAATTTGTGGGAGAAACAGCTGCAGAGGAGGAAGCAGAGTCTGACTCCTGCATCTAGGCTGGAGGTGGGAGCAAGGTCCCCCTCCCTGCAGCCTGTAGGGTCTTCCCCTCTCCATCACTAAGGACCAAGAAACAGCTCCGGTCCATCCTCCAGCCCTGGGCTCCTGGGTCCAGAGGGGCACAGACTCCTCCCTGGTCACTTGGCCCTCTGCTCCTGGCACTACTGGGAATGAATTCAACTTTGGCGGGGAGATCCTCCAGTTGACTTATCTTCTTAATTATGTTTGCTTTAGGCAGATATGGAAGCATGTATTCCATTCCCTCAGCGCAAATGGCAGGAGAGGGAAGTTGGGGTAGGAGTGGGGTACAAACACCCTGCACTCCCAGTGGCTGTGGCCTTGAACCTGCTTTGTGCCAGAAGGAACCCAGTGAAAAAGAACCACACCAGTCCCAAAGCCCAAGTCAATTTTTAAGGTAGGTCCCTGTCCCTGGCAAGGCCTAGGAACCTGGCCTTTTTCACTCCCCAGTGCATACAGGATGGGTCCTCACAGTGGGGCAGAGGAGGAAGCCACAGAGCCTGCCCCTAAAGTCAGCTGTCCAGAGGCGAGATGCTTAGTGCCCTGGATGTTACTCTAGAGTCCTTACCTGACAAGCCAGGGGATGGGCGGAGATTTCCTTTCCTAGGGCTAGGAAAGGAGCATCATTTCAAATGACATACCTGGGAGCCAGATCCTCCAGCGCTTCCCCCATACACATCTCCACATGACCAGCTAGCCCACATCGACCTTATGGCACTCCATTGCTGCTGACCCCATGGATCCTCAAATTGAAGTCCTGGCTCCCCTCCCAGTGGCCCTGCCATAGCCTCCACACCTTCCAGCCTTGCTCACTGCTCTCCTTGCCATGGAAGCCCCCATCACACCAGCTCAGCCTCACCCCCACAGGCCTACACATTCTCTGCCCTCTGCCCAGGGCCTTTCCTACCTTCCCTGTCTGGCCTCAGTCCTCAGGGCCTAGTTCACAGGAAACATCCCAGCTACCGGCAATGACTCCCACCCTGCAGCCCCCACCTGTATAAGCATCTAAGAGGGTCTCAGTCCTGGGAAGCTTTTGTTGCATCCTTGTCCTACAGCAAGCGGTGGGTGCCTTGGGTCTGTCCAGCCAGTGTGTGGCATACAGTAGGTGCTTGGCTCATGTTTGCTCTGAATGAATGAGGGAAAGCTGGGCTGTGGATGAGGGTGAGACGGCCATCCATGGGAGGGCCAGGGTAGTATTGTCTCAATAGGACTGGGGCCGGTTCCTGGGGGAGAATGTCACCGAAAGGAGGCCAGTGGGCCCAGAGCCAGGGAGGGAATACAGGACAGTCTGAAACCAGACTCCCGAGAAAACAGACCTATACTGTCTTGCTGGCCAGCAGCACTCCGGCCGGCCCCTCTGCAGCAGAGGTGGGGGTGATCCCCCCCGCACACATGGCTCAGGCCACCCCCAAAGCCTCCAGGAGCTCAGCACAGAGAGACACTGCCCATAGGGGAACTCCGGCTTCTGTGATATGAAGGCTTAGATGCCCTCTGTGCCCGGAGGCACCTGCAACTTCCAAGCCAGGGGCAGCGACGGTGAAACAGGGCAGCCTGGACCCTCCAACTGGACCCTCCTAGCTGGCAGGGACACCCCCCAACCCAGGGCTGAGTGTCCCTGTCTACTCTAAGACCTACCCCCCAAGTAGCCTTAGGATTGTCCCCCTCATTTACGGGGGTAAACGGGGGTGAGACACTTGCAGGTCTCTCACGTCTGGTTCCCCAAAGGGCTCTCCCATCCCAACTCCCGGCTCCTTGGCTCCAGCTGTGGGCACAGATAGCTTTACCTCCTGCTGCTACAGACTGGTAGACTTCTTGTTTTTTGTTTTTCTTTTTTAAACGCAATAAAACTAAAGCCACAGTCGTTTTCCATGGACAGGGCTTTATTTGGGAACTATGGATGGAAGGCAGCGGGGGAGCTTGGACTGGTGGGATGGGAAGAGCTTCTCCTTGCTTTTAATTTAGTGCATGTGGCCAGGATGTTAGGATGCATGAGAGGGGCTGCAGAGGTGACAGAGGAGAGGAACAGAACATCACAGAACAGACACATTCCTGAGGGAACGAAGCCAGACCGGGATCTGGGGAGGAAAGGTTCCCTTCCAATACAACACTTAGTCCGGGTCCCTGCTGCATGCTAGTTGCCCTGACCCTGGTCTGCCCCCTCCCAGCTCCTGTCCCAGAGGTCTGCCCTTCTGGCCCCTTCAGTGGAGATGGAGTGAACATGGGCATTTTTCTACCCACCTTGCCCATTGTTCCCTAGTTCAGGAAAATCACCCCAGCAGTTCACTACGTCCCAGCCAGGGTCAGCAGCGCTCAGGAGGCGGGCAAGAAAGTCGGGGAAGCCTTGGATACCTTGCCCCAAGCCTCTCCTCACTCTGCACTCCCCCGACCCCAACCTCGCAGCCCCTCACATGAGGTTGCAGCTCTTGGCTCGATCCTTGTGTATCTCGCCCTCATTCCCTCGGTCTGGCCGTCCTGACAGCTGTGTGGATCGCTGCAGTCCCCTGCGTGAGTCGGTGCGGCGCAGCTGCCTGTGGCCACGGCCAAGGGAGGCCACTGTGGCCACGTGGAAGACATCCCTGACACTGCGCTCCGAGGACCGGGAGGAGCACTCCACATAGGACACGGCCCCCACCTGCTTGGCCAGCACCGTGCCCTGGAAAAGAAGCACATGAGAGATTCAACGTGCAACTCAACAAGGGGTACTGAAGTTCAGGGGTTCGGGCTGAAGGGCAAGGCTGAGGGAGGGTGGAGAAAGTGTGTTAGAGGCCAGGTAGAGGGTTGAGCCATCCAGGGTTCTGTCCAATCCGACAAAGACAGGGACAGAGTGGAGCCGGTCTGTGCTGGGCTTGGGGCCAAGGTCAAGGGTCCCACCTGCTCATGTGTAACGGGGATAAGCCTCTGCTTGGACAGCTCCCTCAGCGTAGCCAGGTCGGTCCGCATGTCCAGTTTACAGCCAACCAGCACAACCTTGGCGTTGGGGCAAAATTCTTGAGTCTCTCCCTGCCACTATTTGGGGGAAGAAAACACAATTACAGAGGGGCACAGGAAGGCCCAGGTCTCGGGCCCTCCCACCTGAGGCAGGAGGTACAAATGTAAGCTTGAGTGGAGAGTGGCTTGGAGTGAGAAGGAAGGGGAGAGGAGAGGCCTCGGTGGGAGCCTGGGAAGCCTCCTTCCTCAGTGACCACCAAGGGCCTGCCAGCCTGGGACCTGCCCTTTCCCATGGAACGAGTAACCCCGCCTGGCCCCTCCTGGGAACTGGGGCTGCCCTAGCTGACTGGAGCTCAATCACCATAAGCTTTTTCTCATGGAAATAGGGGTCTAGACAGGAGGCCACCAAGGGCTTGACTGAGCTCCACGTGGGGCTCCCACACCCAAGGACATGGGGGTACATATCCATCTCCCCTGGCTGCTGCCCTAGCTCTGACTTCCAAGCCACGTTCTGGGGAGGGGGCTCAGGAGGGATGCACACTCTGTCCAGCTCATGGCTACGCCTCAGCCATCTCCCTGACTCCCATCAGGCAGGCCCAAGTGGCCAGAGCCCCTGTCTAGCCGGCCTGCTTCCCCACTCTCCCACCTTCTTGAGGACACTGTCCAGTGTTTCCGGTCGGCTGATGTCAAAGCAGATGAGCACAGCATCGGAGTCGGGATAGGCCAGAGGCCGGACATTGTCATAGTAAGAAGAGCCTGAGAGAAGACAGGGAGTGAAGGAACAGGGCCTGGGTGAACAGGGAGCAGGGAAGGGGGTGGGGGACCCAAGAAGTTCTAACCAACGGTGCTGGGGACAGAGGATGGAAAATAGGACAAGAGTGGAGGGAGGGTCCACAGAAGTTCTCTACAAGTGATCGCTCCTAATCTGTTCTGAGTTGGAGTCCTTTTAAGAAGCTCACAAAGTCTTAAAAATAGTCTCCTAAAATTTGGACTTGTACTTTGCATGTTCTAACTGGCATCTCCCAAAGCCCTCCAGGGAATGCACTTCCTGGCTGGGAGAGAGGGGGAGGGGTGGAGAGGAGGAAGAGGAGCAGGGGCGGGGAGGGGGAAAGGGAGGGACCCCACTGGTCAGCCTAGACCTCTCCCCCACCCCCAGCATCCCACCAAGAAACTCAAATGTCTCCCTACACGCAGCCATATCGTCTATAAAATAAGTTTCAAAGGAAAAGCTATTCCTTCCCAACTTTCCCAGGGAGGCAGCACCCAGTCCAGGGATGTCTCCCTGGGGCAGGATTTCTGCCTCAGCTTCCCCAAATTCAAACTCAATTTTCTTTCCTCCTTGAATTGGGTGGGTGGGTGGGGCTAGCCAAAGCCTGGGTCAAGGCGGAGTGGGCTTGGAAGCCCGGATGATCCCGAGGGGCTGGGCTACCTGAAGTATCCCACATGTTGAGCTCAATGCGGCGCTTGTCGATCTCAAAGCTTGCCGTGTAGTTCTCGAACACGGTGGGGACGTAACTCTGCAGGCAGGAATGGGTCAAAATGAGATCGCACTCCAGTCCTCAGCCCACACCGATGCCCTCCCCACTCCCACGCCTGCTCAGTCCCCGGACACAAGTTGGTCTGCGCTTGGGCAAAGGGGAGACCCTGGGAGCAGCTGCCTCCACCGCATCAGTGCTAGGTTCCCAGACTCCTCCCGGCCCCTCGGCCCCTAGTTCTCCCACTCTTCCAAGCCCTGGCGCTCCCACCCGGGTCCCCCGGGTCTCACAAACCCCCGTGGAGCTCACCCTGCTCTCCAATTCCACCCACCCCAATCCTCTGCAGTCCTTCCAGAGCCCCCAGGGCCTCCCTCTCTCCTGTCCCCCTCATTCACCAGGGTCCCTCTCTCCCGCCCCCGGTTACCACAGCATCGGTTTCCATTCGTCCTCGGGGCCCTGTCATTCCTCTCTTCCCGCAGTCTCGATGCCCCCCCTTCTCCTCCCGAGACGCCGGTCCCTCACCCCGGGGTACGCGTCCTTGGCGAACACCTGCAGCAGCGCCGTCTTGCCGCACTCCGCGTCCCCCACCACCACGATCTTGCAGCGGCCGCTCTGCCCCTCCATGGTCCCGGCTACGCGCCGGCGGCCCCCCGCGCCGCTTCTGCCGCCGCTGCAGCTGCAGCCGCTCGGGCCGCCGACACCGGCATCTCGCGGGCCCGCGCCGAGCCCCCGCCCGGGGCCGCGGCCCCCAGCCCCGCCCCCAGCCCGGCGGCCGCGCCCCCGGCCCCGCCTCCCGCCCGCGCAACCGGGGGCGGAGCTCGGGGGGCCGGGGTGCGGGCGAGCCGCGGGGTGACGGCCGGCAGCGCAGGGCTTCCTCGGGGGTGCGGGGCGAGGAGCACCCGCGCCCGGCGCAGGCCTCCGGTGTGGCCCCGCGCGGACGGTGTGCCGGTGCGGACGCGCGCCCAGGCAGCCATTCAATTCCTGGGCGCAGGGGGGCGTCGTAACAGGGGTCCTGGTGACAGGCGAGTCCGGGGACCCCAAGACCTCCACTCGGGGGGCGGTTTGGGGTCTCCATGACAACGTGCGGCGGGGTCCCGTCCTCGGCTGGCCGGTAGCACGGACCGAGTCTCCCCGCCCGCCCCGGCCCTGGTATGGGAGGAAAGTTTTGGGAGAGCTGCGTCCTCTGGTGGATGTGTAGGGGAGACGGCGAGAAGGGGCAGAAATGAGGGACAGTTCTGTTGCAGCCCAGGCGCAGAGCCACTGGTTCCAGGCTTGATTCAGAGACTAAGGAATCCAGAACTTCCTCGGGGCTTCCCACGTGCTGCAGGGGTCAAGTACTGGGGCCATACCTCTCACGGACCCATTAAAAACGCATCCTGGGGTCGGCGCAATGCCTCAACAAGCTAATCTTTCACCTGCAGGCGCCAGCATCCCATGTGAACGCCAGTTCGTGTCCCAGCTGCTCCACTTCCCATCTAGCTCTCTGCTTGTAGCCTAGGGAAAGCAGAGGACGGTCAAAAGCCTTGGGAACCTACACCCGCGTGGGAGACCTGGAATTTCTTTTAAAACTAATTTTTAAATTTTAAATATTGTTTATATACTTAAGAGGGATGCTCACTCCTGTGGGCCTCCGATTGGGATGGGTAGGGTCGACGTATGCAGGAAAGTGGGTGGGACGAATGTTTCTTTTTTTTTCCCTCCGGTTTGCGCAGAGAGGGGAGGGAGCCGCTCCTTGCCGAGCAGCTACATCACACTGCCCCCTTCAAATCACGTGAGGTCCCACCTGCAAGACGTCCACGCGCGGCGGTGCTGCAGGACCCGGAGCGTGGCCCTTTAACCGGGCGCGCCAGGCCCCGCCCGCCCGCAGCCCGCAGCCGCGGCGCCGCCCTCCGCAGCTGGCCACCGTCGGTCCAGCTGTGCGCGCACGTCGGGACTCCCAGCCATGTCCGCCGAGAGAGAGGTGGCCGAGGCGGCTGCCGAGGTGGCCGAAGCCGGCGCCGGGGACGCCGCGTCCTCGCAGCCCCCGAAGGCCGAGGCGGCGAGCGAGCCCGCGCCGTCCGGAGCCCCCGAAGCGGCCGCCGCACCGGCTCCGCCGCCCCTGCGCTGCCTGGTGCTCACGGGCTTCGGCGGCTACGACAAGGTGAAGCTGCAGAGCCGGCCGGCCGCGCCCCCGGCTCCCGGGCCCGGCCAGCTGACTCTGCGCGTCCGGGCCTGCGGGCTCAACTTCGCCGACCTCATGGCTCGGCAGGGGCTGTACGACCGGCTGCCGCCGCCGCCCCTCACGCCTGGCATGGAGGGCGCGGGCGTCGTGGTGGCGGTGGGCGAGGGAGTCACCGACCGCAAGGTGAGCCGACCGGGGTGCGTGGGTGGGGGGCGCGGCGGGGCGGGAGCCGGGGGTGTGGCAGCACCGAAGGAGCGCAGCGCGAGCCTGGAGGATGGGCCCAGGAAAAAAGGCCACCCTTGGCGTTTCAGGCTGCTGGAGAGCCAGGGTGCTTGGGGGGAGCGGAGGGTGGGCGCAGGTGGCGCCCCTTCCTCAAGCATCTTGGGTCGTGGCCGCCGCCCAGGAGCGGTGGTGGGGGGAACAATAAGGCGCTCTGCGCATGCGTGCTGACCTTCTCCACCAACTCCCCGCTACATCCGCAACCTGCCACCACTCCCCCAGTAATGAAATAATACACCTGCACCCCTGCCCACCCTACAGCCCTGTGTCTGTGACCCTACTGAGAAGCCAAGTCTCCCCGTCCCCCATGCACACACTTCCCGAGGGAGCCGGGGCGCGCTGAGGTCGGGATGGGCGGGGACGCAGTGGCAGTGCCAGAGCCCCAGTCACATGCAGCCCCGTGGTGTGTGGGGGTGTGAGGCGGCCGCTCCCCTGGCGGAGCCCCGGAGTCGAGCCACGCCCATCATGGAGCCGAGCTGGCCGCCCCGCTGCCAGGCTGGGCTTGGGGCTGCGGAGACGCCCCAGGGTTCTGGATCTTTGTCTTGGGGTCCCGTGACTGAGTGTCTGCTCCGCCCGTCACTGAACCCTTGGACCACGACCCTGGGCTTCCCCTGGACCTTCAAATGGCATCGCCTCTGCCTTCCTCTGGCCTCGGACCCCTGGCCTCAGAAACCCGCGCAGTGCCCTGGCTGGCTGGGCTGGGAAGGTGTGGCAATGTGAGCTGGTTAGCCCAGCTCGGCAGGTCCGCTTCTCTTCCCTGCTGTATCTGGGTTCATCTCACCTCAGACAGGGAGAGTTCCGGGTGACCAACTTTTGGAGCAACCTAGGGCGACTCATGACTGTGTATCCTTAGAGGATTTCCTTTCGGATTTGGCCAGTTGTAGGACTTTGCCTGGATCTGTTGCAGTTACCCTGTCTGCAAACAGCTGCTCCTCCGAGCGCTTCTGCCTGACTCTGGCCGCACCCCCTGCCCTCATAGCCCCCTGCACTGACTCCCAAGTCCCCAGGTTGCCCTCCTGAGGAGGGGCTGCAGGAACTGGAGTGGGAAGGGGCAAGTATTTGTAGTCTGTTACTATTGGAAGCCTCCCACCTAAGCTCCTGATAAATACAGGATATCCTGTCCTGCGCCAGAATCTGATGTCAGAATCTGGACGCTGGGGTGGTGGTGGCTGGGGTGGGGGTAGGGGCCTGGTGCTGACCTCTGAGGGGCCAAGGGGGTTCATTGTAAAGCAAGGTAAGCGAGACTTGGTCTGGGCCAGCCCTGGGATTTCCTGGGACCCCAACTGACAACCCTTCCCAGGCCCCCAGGTTTGTCTCTGCACCCAGAGTCCTGCAGTGGGGGATTCCCGGCGCCCCAGGGCTCATCCCAGGCCAGAAGTCACAGGGGAAGATCACAGCCCTCCCCTGTCCTCCTCAGGGAGGAGGGATGTGGGGGTGCTCCCCTTCTCCCCCAGGGATCCTGTCTGGTTAATCCACACATTCCCATCATCCTTGCTGGGACCAAGACCCACCCCAACTATCCCAGAGCAGCTCAGCTCGCACCTTTTCTTTCCCTGCTCTGCCTTCCCTGGAGGGAAAGGTCACCTTTGCCCTTGTTCCCTCCTGCAGGTGCCTGGGAGTGAGGCAAAGCCTTTTGCTGGTGTGGGGGTGCTGTCGTCCTGGGCCTCTTCTGTACTGCCGCTGGGTGAAAGTGCCTTCTGAACCCCACTTGGTGCTTGCCCAAACGCTGCTTCTCCCGAAGTGATCATACCCAGCCCCTTGGGCTCTGGGTCCTCAGCTCAGGACCAGACACCTTCCTAATGTTTGCTCTTGCTGCTGTTGTTGCTAGCTAACGTTCCCCAGTGCCCAGTGTTCAGTAGGCGGCAGACATTGAGAAAAATCAGTGAGTGAGGGTTCCTCCTGCCCCCCATGTAATCCTCTTAATTGCCCCAATTTACAGATAGGAAAACTGAAACTCAGATTAAACAGGGTAGGTGTGTAGTACACCTATTAAGGTGCCTGTGTCCGCATCAGAGAGCCTCCCCCCCTTTATTTTCTTAAGATTATTTTTTTAATTGGAAGTTCATATTTACAGTAAGAAGGAGAAACAGAAAGATCTTCCATCTGGCTGCAATGGCCAGAGCTGAGCTGATCCAAAGCCAGGAACCAGGAACCTCTTCCGGGTCTCCCACGTGGGTGCAGGGTCCCAAGGCTTTGGGCCATCCTCAACTGCTTTCCCAGGCCACAAGCAGAAAGCTGGATGGGAAGTGGAACAGGCAGGACAAGAACTGGTGCCCATATGGGATCCTGGCGCGTGCAAGGCGAGGACTTCAGCCGCTAGGCCACCAGGCCTGGTCCTGCCTCTCCTTTCTGACTGCAGCTTTCTGTTCGTGCCCCTGGGAGGCAACAGTGATGGCTCAAGTCAGCGTTCCTGCCACCCACATGGGAAGCCTGAATCGAGGCCCAGATCCCTCTCCAGCCCCCACGGCCTTTCCAGATGAACCAGCGCAGGGGAGTGCGGATTTACTCTCTTTCTCTACCACTCAAACAAAACCTTAATGTCATTCGTTATTTTATGTTTTTATCTACTTGAAAGACAAGACAACATCCGCAGACATAGATATTACACATTCATTGGTTCATTCCCCCAAATGCTTGCAATAGTTGGGGCTGGGCTAGTGTGAAGCCAGGAGCCTAGAGCTCCATCACGTGCTGGTTCCCAGGATGTCTTAGCAGAAGGCTGGATCAGACAGAGCAGCTAGTACTGAACCCGATACTCTGATGGGCCTAAGAGTGCAGCCAGCTGCAGCCTAATCAACGCACCACCATGTCAGCTCCTTACAAGTTTTTTTTTTAAGGTTTGTTTATTTATTTAAAAAGCAGACAGGAAGAGACAGACCTTTCATCTGCTGGTTCACTGCCCAAATGCTTGCAATAGCTGGGACTTGGCCAGGCCAATGTAGGAGCCAAGAACTTCTCTGTGTAAGAACTTGGGCCGGCATCACTGCTCCCCAGGTACACTAGCAGGAAGCTGGATCGGAAGGGTGGAGTCGCCAGGACTGGAACCAAGCACTCCTCTGTGGGATATACATGTCCCAAGGGGCAGCTTAGCTTGCTAGGGCACAACACCCATCTTTTTTTTTTTAAAGATATATTTATTTATTTTTATTGCAAAGTCAGATATATGGAGAGAAGAGGAGAGACAGGAAGATCTTCTGTCCAATGATTCACTCTCTAAGCAGCCGCAATGGCCGGTGCTTTGCCAGTCCGAAGCCAGGAACTCCC